AAAAGGAAACTGTTTCCAGAATTTTTTGATTTTTCGAAAATTTTGAATTTTTTTTTCAAAATTCTCCCTACGCGATCCCTGCCACAAGTCACAGACACTGCCGGTCTCTACAAGACTTGGTCTCTGCTGGACTCAGCCCCTGCAACACGCGGTCTCCCGGCCTGTGTAGGACTCAGTCTCTGCAGACTTAGTTCGGCAGAGACACGGTAAGGCAGAAACAGAATTTTTAGGTTACGTATAGGGAGAATTTTGAAAATAATAAAAGTTTTCAAAAAATACTGCAAATTGTCCAAAAGGCGTACAAAACTAAATTTCTTTGAAAAATATCAACTTCAAAATTTTGGAAAAATTCGAAACTTTTATGCAGTTTTCTGCATTTTTTGATTTTCCGAAAATTTTGAATTTTTTTCAAAATTCTCCCCACCCGATCGCTGTCAGAATAGTGCTCCGTCTTATCCGGTCCTTCACTTATCCTGTATGACGGAATCTGTCCCAGTAATATCCGGTCTCAGGGAGAAATGAGCAACTTACATACGCAGATAATAAGGGCCCTTGTCAACGACAAGAATTTTCGCCGTCCGGGTTGGTAGTGTTACATTGTTTCATATGAGAGTTTGTCCACGAGCCATCACGGCAAATCTACCGGACCGGCTGCCTGATTCCCACTGTAGAGATATTATGGTTAGGTTTAGTCTTACTAATGTGGTAGTGTGGCTTGGAATGGAGCAAGGCAAGTTCACAAGGATGCTGTCGTCAGCTTAAATATGCTCAGCTGATATGATATTTCTTCCATGAAGCTACAGCTGGTTCCTTAAGACTATACACCATCCATCATCGTCCCGAAAATGGAGGCAGTCCGCAGTAAAACGACGGTGAAATAAAAACATTCCACTTTGAATGTAATAAACACGTGAGTCGTGGTGATGAGTCGCTTGATTAGAGGAAAGTGCTGATTCTCCTCCCACTCAGACTGTGACACTGTTTGCTGCTTTTGTTTAGACACGCAAGACAGATTTTTTGGCTTTGAATTACATCACCTTACTACAACTTTCAAAAGCTGTCAGGATGAAATTTAAACCTTTGAAGCCCAAACTCGTCTAAATAATATTTAAGAATTCAGTCCGCACCGCTAAGAAAACACCGCACTCCACCATTAAAAAGATCAACTGGTTAACGCCGTTTAAGGAAATAATCGCTGTTTAGTGCGAGAAACATACAAAAAATGCAGCGTTAATGATTCTTAAAACAGATGGTACATATAGCTCAATGCATAAAGCGATGTATCGGCAGTTACAAACCTTATTACTTTGAGCCGAAAATGATACACAAGATGCGAGACTAAACACCCTTTTGGATTCAGTAACTTGATTTCGTAAAAGTAAGAGTCGTGCAGTGTTTGTTCACTCACAAACCTAAAGCAACCTTTTATTTATGAAGTGTGTGTGTCCATAAAACCACTCCAAAATTTACTTGTGGGATTAAATTGTTGATTACAGAATAATAATAAAATAGCTTTCAGGAAAAATCAGAATGCAACTGTGGACACAATTCTTCTGGAACAAAATAACGTCCACTGGCGGGCTTTTGTGAACACGATGATGAAATGATTCCATAAAAATAGAGGAATTTCGTAACCAGCTAATCGACTATCAGCTTTTAAACAATATGCCTGCATAGTAAAGTTATTAGCGGATTGTCTGGAAGGCTGATTGGTTGAGTTTTGGGTTAATTAGGCCCAACTTCGCCCTTTCAAACTTTGTGGGCACATGATTAAGTACCGTGTAGCACGTTTAACGCTTTGAATCCTAGTGGTAACTATATGTACCATTTGCTTTAACAAACAATAAGTCTGCATTTTGAGACTGGAACGAGTAAAAAGGCTTGAACCCTGCAGCTACCATTACCATTCCAATAATAATTCTTGACACTACAAACTAGATCCAAATGTTTTGCTGAAGACCAGGTGGTTATGGCACATCTATTCTGTTTAACAAACTCTGATTTGGGTAAGTCCTCAGCCCATGTTTGGATTTCCAAACTGCTTGTAATGTCATGGACATTTATTATACCATTTGTGTGATCCTCTCTACTGCCATAAATGCAGACTGGATTTCAGAAAATGCATAGATGAAACTATACAAATTAATACCATACGCACTGTACTTCTGGAAGAAGTGGAGACAGGTACGCCTGATCTAGCCACCAGTATTAAGGCCATCAGGATCAACCCATTTCAGAATATTGGGCCCACTCTTGCCAATGAGCTGCCCTTTGCTACAGCAGGTAATGTTACGGGCATGGCTTTGAGTTGGACTAACAGCTGCTGTCTTGCCACTTACAGCCTTACAGTGGCCTGTATTACTTGTGGTCCCCTGCGTAAGATTCAAGGCCAGCTTCTCTGCTTCTGTGGAGCAGAATAAACAGGCCACAATGTGTAGAACAAAGCACAGGGGTGATACATCACAGACGTGAAATGTTAAAGGCGAGTTCATCTGATTTACTTGAACTGAACCAATTGCCCTGCAAACTTTGCACATGAGAAAATTCCAATCTAAAAAATCTTGAATGGAAAAACTCAATCGGTATACTTTACTACAAATTTGGAAAACAAGATAAGAAAAAATGGGGTAGAATAGATAAATTATGACTTACATTTACTAAAAGATAAGAAATTTATACTGGCTTCTAAGTGAAATCCAAACCCAAAAAGTACTTCCGAATGGAAACATCATACCAGCAGAACACAACCTTCTTCTGTTCATGAAGTAAGGTCGACAATTACCTCTCTAGAGACCTGCAGAAGCTAGTTGGTGCAGACACCGAGGCAGGCAGCAAGCAACTGGGTGAGATAAGAGGCCGAGTCCGGCAGAGACAGCATGTGGCATTCACCAATTGAAGTTGAAATTTTTAAAATATTTTTGCTTTTGTGTGCTTTTCATACAATTTCCAGCATTTTTTGAAGATTTTGAAATTTTCAAAATTCCACCACATGAAGCATTGCAGAACCGATCTCTATCGGACTGTTTCTGATGTACTGTGTCTCTGACGAATGCGGTCTGTGCCTGACTCGGGCTCTGCACGGATCGATCTCTGTATGACATGGCTCTGACGTACCGCCTCTGAGAAGCCCAGGTGCGGCAGACACGGACCTGCAGAGGCCGGTTGGTGCAGACAACTGGGTGACAGGCCGACTCCGGCAGAGACAGAATGTGGCATTCACCGAGACTGGCATGCATGTCTTGAGGAGAAATTTGAAAAGTTTCAAAAGTTTCTAAAAATCAAAAAATGCTGGAAATTGTCTGAAAAGCGAATAAAACCGAAATATTTTGGAATATTTTAAAATAATTTTAATGTGATATTTTTAAAATGTTTTTGTTTTGTGCGCTTTTTCGACAATTTCCAACATTTTTTTGATTTTTTCAAAATTCTCCCCGACTCCTCTCAGAAAAGTTATCTGCAGACACTGTCTTTGACGTACCCTGCCTCATACCTACACGGCCTCTGCAAGACCCGGTCTCTGTATGACACTATCTCTAGTGGGCCGTCTCTGTAAAGAACGGTTGCAGCAAAGAACTGGTAAGGCAGAGACAGACTCCTGCAGAGAACTGGAGACGTAGATCGGGAGACAGGCGATGACTAACAGATACCAGGTGAGGCACATAACGTCCCGAACAGAGGCCGGAAGAGTCAGATACCGGGTGGGACAGAGCGAGAATGGTTGATATCGGGTTTGGCAGACATTGATTCTGGTATTGATGAAGTAGGGAAATTTTTGAAAAAAAAAAAAAAACAAAATTTTCAAAAAATCGAAAATGCAGGAAATTGTGTAAAAAGCGCACGAAACCAAACAAATTTGAAAAATTTGATAATTTTTGGAATTTAAAATTTTATACTTTTTTCAAAATTCTCCCAACCAACTCCTGTCAGAAAAGTTATCTGCCAGACAGCCTTTGACGTACCCTGTCTCGTACGTACACGGCCTCTGCAAGACCTGGACTCTGTATGACACTATCTTTAGTGGGCCGTCTCTGAAGTCTGTTTGCATCAGGGAATGGGTGAGGCAGAGAATATACACAAAGACGGAGAGACAGGCGGTTTGGAATACACTGGTGAGGCAGAGATCGCGCCTGGCTGTGTCTGGTCTTGTCAGACTCGATTCTGGTGTGTATCAGTCAGGGAAAATTTAAAAATTTTCTATACTGGTCTCTAGATGTCTAAATGAATCAATAAAATGTAATCCTGCATTTTCTTTACCTATCTTCAATACCAAAATTAAGTCAGATGTCTTTTCCCAAACTTAACAAAATATATGACAATCACATAAACATAATTTACGAAGTACTAAGTGAGCAGACTTTTATATTTTAATCTACCTTCCACACATAGAAGAGGGAAGGTAACATCTTGTGTTTTCCATGGCTGGGGCAGAACAAAAGACTGAGAACTTCTGAATGTTTACACTTCACTTTATCCGATGTGCATGAAGTGCACCCCAGCAGAAAGTTTCTGAGTCTAGTGTGACAAGAATAGATGCAAATTCACCTTGGGGGATGTTCTGTCCCTTTCACAGTCAAGGAATAAATGACAAACTTCGTCTGAAAGATGTTTTAATTATCAATACTTGTTTTAAAGACTGAATCAAATTATTATTTGATTCCCTGGTAGTAGTGGTATGTATTAAATTGTATCAGAAATATTGGATATCTGTAAAAAAACAACTGTTAAACTGTTAATATTTTACAAAAAAAACTTTAAAATTGTATTTGTTACTCTTTGGATATATAAATTTATAATCCTGGTACAATAATCACAGTGAACCAAGCAAACACTGTAAGTCTGTATTAAATAAAATGTTTTTTAACAATATGCTGTTGTCAAGCACTTAAATAAATGAATTGAACTGAATTATCCCTAATCAGCATATTACCTGTATGAAGTGTGCAAAATTTTCTGAGGAATCATTTTCACACGTGACAGATTTTAATATGACGCGACACAGGTTAGAGGAGTGAACATTTTATTCCTATAGTTATTTGTATAGTATATGCAACATCTGCTGTTCAATGTAGAAAATACAATTCTGTCTTTTTTTAAAGTTATTTTGAAACATATTTTAGGCATCATATTTAACAGATGAATATGTGCAACTACAGCAATATAGTGTTTATAATTAAAAAAAACAATATCTACTGCAATTTTTCCTCCCATCTCTTAAATATGAGTGTGTATGTATAATATATATATTGTATATACAATTGTAAAATAGCATAACTGTACTTTCCTTCATACAAAAAATAATATCAAACACTACTAAATTTACACTTCATGTTTGTGTGTAAGAACCTTGTTACTATGTTAGTTACAAAATCAGAATATACAAATGTGGATGATGTGCGAGCATGTGACCCAGAAGCACAAGACAGATAAAATAGTATATAATCTCTATCCATGAAGTTTAAACTGGCAACTGGCAACAATAAACTGAAGTAAACATATAATTTTGAGGTTAGATTTCTGAAGAAAACAAAAATTAAATGATAAGACAATTTAAATATTTGAAGTACTGTTTTATATTCAGAAAGCTTAACAGGAACTCATATTATTACACTAAAAGATGAGTTCAGCTCAAGCATAATGCTTATATAGTATATAGCACTATCGATAATCATTTCAGTACAGTTTTGTCTATTAAATTCCAGTTTAACAGAGACATATTGTGCCTAAACTAGAGACAAATCTGCATTTGTATACATACTAAACTATATCCCTAACTACTAGTATTACAACCAAATTTTTTCCCCTAAATGTAACAAAATACATGGTACTCTAGCAAATGTGATATCATCTCTATGTCACTCTTGCAACTAATACTTTTGACAGTGATATAAAATATTAGACACACGTGTAACTTTGCAAATATAATGTAAATATAATATGAATAATTTTATTCTGTTATCATTACAGACATCTCCAAATGACCATTAATTGTAGTTTGCTGTTGCACACAGAAGGGATAGCTAGAAAAACATGTGTTCATCCTGTAGATGAACACGTTCCCAGCAGGTTCTATTAACATACATAACCTAAAACAAACTGATAATGTTTTCAGAAGAAACCACATACTGGTGCAAGAAACTAAGATAACCACAGGCATCAATAGGAAAAGAATAAAGAACATTTTCCATTCATAACACTCATTGAACATACAGAAATAATTTTAAGGTAACACCTTTTCCCCAGTTTTATAAATCACAGAATGACCCTGCAGTATCATCCAGGTCAGCCTCTTTCAAAAATTTAAATATTCCATTTTATTCTTAATTGCTTTTTACCTTTTAATAGTCCTGAAAGTCCATCATACTTTTAGAATTCTGTGAAGTCCACAAGTATGTTTCTTACACAGATTTAATTGTTGATTGATGTAATGACCACTTGAAATAGTAAGTTTCTTACATTTTTCTTGTGCTAGAGTAAATATATATAAACGTATAACTTTGGATTTTGGGTAAGAGCCACAACTGATATCTGGCATTAACCAAACATTCTGGCAAAAAATGAAGTTCTCAGTTTCAAGGTGAATGAGGTTGGGTCATTACAGAAGGCCAAAAAATGGCAGACAGTGGGTGTGAGATGAATTTTTTGGTGCCAATTGCTGGACTTAAACAAAACAGAAGAAACTGCCAACATCAGCAGCTACCATCCCCATATAATCAGGGATGTATCAGAGATATTTACACATCCAGACAACTTCAACCACAAAGATGACAAGAGGCTAAGAAAAGACTGGCTGCACCTATTTAACCCCAAATGACTGACCTCACTGGGCCCTTAAAAGGACAGGTCTACTTCCACATCTCCCAACCACATGGCTGAAGAACAGCTACCACTCTCCCTTCCATTCAATCACTGCAAATCTTATCAACATGGTCACCAGAACCTCCTCATAATTTTCCTGTAACCTACTTTCCTCAAACATCAAGCTCCTCCATTCCACCAACAAACACCAGCAAATTCATCTTGCACCCATTGTCTGCCATATATAAGGGCACGTACAAGACGGAGCCTAGAAGGTCGCTGGCAGCCGAGATGGTCGCCTAGCATGAAGAATGGAAGGTATTTTAAGTACGAGTGAACATGACGAGGCCGGGCCGGGAAGCACCAAAATACGATTTGTATTCCATGAGGGTAACGATTTTGTATGTGTTACGGGTTCCATGCAAAATGGGTGTGGAAAAGTTGATGAGTCAGGAAGAATGATAAGCAAGTGCAAGTGTCACTGTGCACGCCCTCGCCTTCTGCTTCTGAAATTACCCCACCTCATTCACCTTGAAAATGGCAACTAGTGTTTACCAAAACGTTGGTCAACACAAAATATGACATGGCTGCTGCCTGAAAGCCAAAGTTATACAGTGAACTCCAGCCACAAAAACCTTTCCAAAAAAAAAAATACATGTTGCCATCTTGAATGTGAAGAGAGAATGTTCTTTCCAATGTTAATAATTTTAAATGCTGTAAGGAAATATACACTGAATGCAGAGCAGACCATCAGTACAGAAATAAAAATGGACATTTGAAAACTGGTGGCACTCCACAATCCTGCAAAGGGCAATTTCAGTGTGGAATGATACAATGTACTTCCAATGCTCTTTCATGTAAGCTGAAGTTCCACCTTAACAGACTGACAAAGGTGTACTATATTGCTTGTATTCAAGAGGTATCCAGTTCAAACCTCAACCTGAGCAATAAATATCATGCAGATTTCTGGGTAAATTCTGGCTGAGAGGGGCATTATGTGGTTCTGCATTTAAAAAAAGGCATTATCATGTCTGCAGAACAAAGAAATTCCAATGTCTCTTACTGAACCACAAAGAAGAGAGAACAATACGTAATAAGCTGTACGAAAGGCTGTTACTAGTATACAAGAAAGGGTGACAGTCTAATTTAATCAATGATTTAAGTGATATTAATAACATTTCAAACAATGGGCTTGTCACTACAATTAATTCATTCATGAACAATTTTTTAAATTGACTCATGACAGAATATAAAGACAGTGTCATGCATGCACCAAATGTATAAAGTGGGCTTTTAGTTACACAGACAGCAAGGGAAGGAAAAGCGTTGAAAATGAATGGCCACGTTTCAATAATTGAGTACAGATGCTATTAACATTTTAAAGACTGGAAAAATATGCCATCATCTGTATATATTTGATGTGGATTGCACAATGACATCAAAACTTTTTCAAGAAATCAGAAAATATTTGTGAAATAATGACAGTTATAAAATAAGGTATTTTCATTGTATATCCCTACTAATTAAAATGAAAAACACAAGAGATCTTGTGGTCACCCTGTTAAGCACGTTAAATTATGATACAGATTTGTAATGCTCAAGCTTAAACTATCTTTTTCTAATGTGTGTAAGTTTATACATACTGTAGATATTTTAACTGAGCAATGCTTTGCTGATTTTGCCATGAAACTGCAGTGGATTACTAGAGTCCTACAAAATATAAACACTCTTAAGTTTACTTCCTTGAAATTAACATATGTAAAGTTTTTCATCAACACTGTTCACAGAAATTAGCTTGTAAATTTTCATCATGATCTAGAATTGTATAGTTTGATTACTGTTGAAGAATGTATGATTTAATATTTCTACATTGCCCATAGAACCCTTAAATGTTGAAGACGATATTTAGGAACAAAAGTATGGATACTAAAAAAGCAAACACATTAACACTGAAAATGCTGAAATCAAATCTTCACACAAAAAGTAGCTGTGATTCACAATTACAAGATTTCAGTAAACAGAAGACAGTTGTCTTTATTCCAAATGACATATGAAATTGATTGTTTTAAACTTAAATTCTGACTTTGTTGGTGGGAGTTACTGCTTTGTGTCTCTCCACAAATCTGTCTATAGACTTTTCTTTGCATAAATTACTATTAACAAGCATAACATGGAGTTGCGGTATATACCTCTGATGTATGTGACATTACACTTGAAAGGAACTCGGTTGAAGCAGTAATGTACAATACAAATCAATGACTTAATCAGTGTTGACACCATCTCCCAAATATACAATCCTAGGTTAATACAACAATAAAATATTGGCGCTATTATAATTCAAGCAAAAATAATGTCTTTTCTACACAAACAGGTACTGCAAATTAAAGAAAATAAATATTTCGCAGATAAAATACATCGTTAAGGTTTCAAAATATTTGCCTCTTCAAACACGACAAGAATAATGGTCTAAAGTATATTCACTTAGGACATAGGGCACATTGCAGGAACCGATGCCAGTATAACAAGCACGAGTTAGTACATAGGAAGATTATAAATCAAGTTTCTGAAATTAAAGTGCTTGGAAACAAGTGCAAGAAAACCATGTAACACTGTGGCATAAAAGTAATATATAATTTATATATTTGAAAAAGATAAATATATAAACTAAACTAAAATACCAACTGACTAGAGATATAAACTGCTCCCAAGAAAAGGAAATTATGTCTACAAAGCATCAGCAATAATGTTTGGCTAAACAATTCTTTACATTACACATGACAGACATCTGGATTCAAATAACTGCATTTTAAAATCCAAATCAGGTTAAAATCAAGCACTTTGCAATCCAAATTTCAGTATAATATGATATGCACAACAGTACTGTTGCCTTATAAAATATGTTTCATACACATTTACAGATTTTAAAAAAATCAGCATATCACTTTGTACAATAATATATAAAAGACATATTAATATTATTATATATATACAATGTGATGATCCTTGTGCTGTTCAAGTAATAGTGAAACGTCTCATACTTGATAAAATGTGATATTATAACTGAATATATCTTATGCCCCATCTACACATATATTTAATGCATTTATACCATCACAGATGTTTATGGACATACAGGTAGTTCAGCAGCTCAAAATATAGCTTAACAGGGTGCAATTTTTTGATCAGAGAAGGGCATGCAAATTCCATACGTGGAAATTCCTTGACCAGCTGCTTAGACACACACATGGCATCAAATGTACTTCTACATTTTAAAAATATTAACTGTAAAATTAAAGGCTGTTTAACTTCAAATCATCTGGACATTGTTTTTGTGGGTTTGAATTCTGCCAGCAGCATGGAGGTTTTTTCTCAGTGTTTTCTGAAGATGGTGGAGCCTTGCAATGGACCAATCCCTAGGGCCAAAAATGGGCATACACATTTGCAGTGCACTGATACTGTTGTAAAGGGGGAACTATAGGACTATGGCCACCAGTGAATGACCCATTACCCATCGCCCGCATGACACACAGATGAAAAAGCAGCAGCCGTGAAACAGAAAGAAATGAAGAATTTTGAGAAAATGTCCCAGTGCCACACAGCACATCACAAATCCCTCACACTGACCTTGGCATGAACCCAAGGCTCTACAGAGAAGCACATGGCTAACCTATCCTGAACCACAGCACAGCCACTTGGCATGTACTTCCATATTTCCCATCTTTTAACACAGTTACATACTACAGCACCTAAAGATAGTGTAACTACTGTTTTGAAAGACTCCTAATTTTAAATTTATGATGTTTGACACTGTAGTATAAAAATACTTTTCATAAATTTACCATCTTGAGTACACTAAAATTACAGAATAACCTACTAGTTTCCTGACCAAATTATATCAGTAGAATGATAGAAGTAAAAAGTCTTTCCCCAGCTCTCTGAATTGTCACACTGAAGAAGGGAACTTCAAATGTACCTTAGACTGTCTACATATCATTACTGTCAAATTAAAACAAACCATCACTTTCTTAGAACAATCTTCACTGAACTGTTAATTTCCTTGTTCTGGATTTTGTCATCAATTAATCACCGTTAGAAAATCAAAATGTTTCAAAGGATGAATCTTGCTTCAACTGCAAGATTTTGGTGTGAGAGATTTTGTACAATGAGCTTCTCTCAATCTGTGGTCTACAGATTGAGAGAAGCTTGGTCTACTAAATATGATAGAATCAGTATCACCCCCTTCAGACTCCTTAACATGACGGACGATCCTTCCTTTGAAATGTTGTGATTTGATAATCTGATGATGATGGAAATTATAATAATGTCATCAACAAAGGATGTCGTCCCAAACTAAGAAATTAGTAATACAGCATTAGAGGAGAATTCACAAAACTGACTTAAATACGTACAGTGATAAGAAATTATGACTCGTAGCCTGTGTCCAGTGCTGCTCAGAATGGCAGTGTTGAAAAAGTAACATTAAAAAAACAGACCTAAATAATGTGACATCTACCATGATTCTCAAGTCCTTTATAAATATACTGGTCACCTTATCCCCATTCTACTAAATCTGGAGCACACATCCAAGTTCTGGAAAACCATCTCTACCTTAATGATCTCCCATTCAAGGAAAACTATCATAATCCTTAAATAAGATTCACTGTCTCAAATTAATCCTGAGTTGCAACAAGGCCCAACAGGTAGTTCAAGAATAACATAACACTGATTAGAAAAAATTAATTCAAAGCAATGTAGTTCATGTAAAATGTGTAATGTTCTGACAAATAAATATACCTACCCAATCATAACACTATGAAGCTGCACAGGGGAACAGAGATTTAGCATGTTCATGAGCTGTTCTTATGTTATTTAATTGCAGTTTACTTAATGACACTGTCAGTAACTCCGAATATGCAGCACGAATAATGAATTGGAAAGGACATGAAAATAAATTATCCTGGCCTAATTCTAGGTACTATCCTAGCATTTTCTGCCCAGAGGAATTTAGGAACACCATGAAAATCCTGTCTAAGCTAGATTTAAACCTTGGACTTCAGGAATACAAAGAAATGATAACCACTTGACCACAACATTCAGCATTTTTCTTATCAGGAAGCAATGAAAAATTATATAAAATGGTTCTGATAACATAATATTATAAAAGTCATGATAACATGCTGTACAGAAAAATATTAATTAGAGATTAATTTTAAGACGTCTACAAAAGCCAAGGAAACAGAAATACAATTACTCCATATATAAATGATCGTGATATGTCGATTTAAAAAATATAAATCATGTGGGTTTGCTAAAGTAATTACCCCTATCAATGAAAGTCCTTTTGATCACCATCTCTTGGTTTGGAAGACTGAGAAGATCAGAGATGGTACAAACTGGATATCTTAGAACTACGCAAAGAGAATGTGAACTAGATTTAAGTGACTCTAGTTTGTGAACAGATGGGACAACTGAGAACTTCACTGAACACAGGTTCTATAACCAGGTAGATGACTGCTCCCCAGAAATGTTATGTTTGCATACTTTAAAAGCAAAAATTGGGTACCATACCCCTAAATGATGGTAACAGACATAAACAGCTTCATAACATGTTTCTGAAATTACCTGTGAGAAGATGAACTGCTGGTTACATACAAACACAAATTTTAGCATTAGAGTATTCACAAAACAAATAACTGTTACAACAGGAAGGACACATAATAAACAAATTGCAACAACTGTACCTGAAGCCAAAAGTTTCCAATTTTTTTTTTACATACAAACACAATAATATCTCAACATCAGAAATTACTTGCGTACACAGTACAAGGGAATGTAACATATAAATTGCAAGCTGAAAATAATTAGGTGTAAACACATTAAAACCAAATGCTATTACAAATGGTATATCTATGCAGATGGGGCAATCTGACATAACTTCAGAAGCTCAGAATAAAAAACAATATTTCACAACTGATACTGATGGTTGTATATGTACTGAATCAGAAACAGATTCTCCATTGTGGTTTACTTAACACACAGAACTAATTCCATGATAATTTCCTTCCGTGTAACAACTGAATTGATGTTGACATCAATCACTGCACAAATGGTTCCCAAGTTTCAGCACATCAAATGCAATAAAGCTTAACCCCCTTCACAGGAGAAAAAGCTTTCAGGATATATTGGAAGTTAAGATTTTATAATGATATGGTAACCATTTGAATCATATGTGGCAGACATTTGCGAAGACAGGATTTCTTAGTAATATTTAAAAAAAAAAAAACCTGTTACATCCATATAAATTATATACAAAACATGGTTATAGTCCATTAAACAGAGCAAGCAGATCATGTAACACAAACAGTATCATGAACGTAATATTCCAGGCAGAGATCAAGTTCAATCAGAAGACAACTTCTAGCATGGCTATGAAAATTTAAGTGATTATATTATCTTCTGTATTAGACATTGCAAACAAACCAAAAATTTACCATTCTACATAATCTGCATTCATAATCCAGTCTCACCACATGAACATTACATTGATGAAAGTACTGTACTGACGACAATCAATGTTCTTCCTTTGTTGAATGACTATATGATTACCTGATCACAAGATACGTACAATTATAATTACTCTTATTGTTACTGTAAATATTTATTCTCTCTTATATAATAGTACAGGTTCCTTTCTCATGAAAATGTTTCTCCATTGGCCATATTATGTCTCTACAATTAATCTTGGCTTTGTAAAGAAGAGTGTCTTGTTGGTTTCACGTTCAGTTAACAATGTATTTCATATTCAATGTCAGTTAAACAATAGAGAACAAACCTACCCTGCCCGAGTTGTTTCAACCAATTCAGACACTCGCTTACTCACACACACACACATGCACACTTGCTCTCACTGTAATGAAGAGGAAATTAGAAGCTTCCATCTTAAATTTAGTTTTTCACCCAACTGAATGAGTTACCAAAATACATGTTTAATCAATAAGAAATCCCTTCAAACAGTATCTGAGACCTGAGCATCTGGGAACACTGCCAAGCAATCACAAGTAATGAATCTGGTGATGTCATCATTTCAAAATTTTGACTTACAATTCACTTTATCAGCAGACAAAATTTTGTATCTGTTCTTTTTTTACTCTGTCCATAGTACAGTCCATGTTATTCTTCCTGGCCTCTCGTTTGTGCATGTACCATGGGATTGGGTGCACTCACATCCTGATATTGCTTCACAAATGGGTGTTTGCAATGCGCTTCTATCTGGTTGACTACACAGTTATCTTAAATTACTATGTACAAATGAATCACAGGCACATCTTGGTACATTTTTGTGGTAGATGAGAGACATCTTCATGCCGTGGCAATCAAAATAAATGTCTTACTGTCTTACTTTTACCTTTCCATGTTCAAGTTTTCCTACATAACTCACATTTTCATGTCTGGTTTTTGAAGCAAACTAAAACATTTTCAAAAGTATTTACAGAATTTTAATGCAACTTCTGCACAAGTTTAGTGTAAAATTAGTAATAATGAACTTAGACAACCTATGAAATAAACTACAGATCTTATGGGCTTTCACTTCTAATATTGTCATCCATACAAAGTTAAAATTTTCCTGTTTTCTTATAGTTGGATATAATGTAGTTGTTTCTTCTATAAGCTGTAAAAATAGTAGTGGTAGTAGTAGTAGTAGCAGTAGTATATAATTCAGTGGGATTTGAAATTTTCATTGCACTCATCTGAAGATGTCTATCTTCTGGGTTGTAGCGCCATGTAGTCTGGTTAAAGTTTAGCAACATTTCAAAGGTCATTGCTACCTCCATCATCAGGGCAATGAGCAAGAATAAGGCTACACAATGCCCTGAAGATGGGAGGCAGCACGGATCTCTATAACTTGGTAAGCTTCCACCAGACGACATGGCACTACAAACCAGAAGACAACAAACTTCAGTAAATAATTCATTTCTTGCTAGTAAATCACTGCCCTGCCCACTACAATAACCTCACTTTGTTTGTCTAGTATCTAACAGTTAAATAAGATTAAAATTACTGTAACAATTTTCAGTCTTTCTTACTTATCACGCGATGACACTAAGTGTGTGTTGCTAAAAATGGCTAATTTTCATATTACAAAAATGTAAAAGTGCTTACATGCAAAGAATAACAAACTATTTTGAACTTGTTTAACTGAATAACCCTTTGAAACCAAAGCTTGCACAAAAACTATTTAAAAATTCAATTCATACTTCAAAGAATCATACGAAACCCACAAATGGCAAAAATGAATGTTAAAGTAGATGCAGCTGAACCTATAATCATTTTGAGACCTTCAGCTTGTACAGAAGGCATACCTCTGCTGTATAAGCATCTCCATTTCTTATAAGTCACCATCTCAGATTGACAAGAAAATTATAGAGGCCTGTTTCAAAATGAGACTGTAGAAAATTTTAGTGAGTAATGCACCTGGCTTTTGTTACAATGCCGTTACCAAACAGCAACAGACTCTATTAACATTGGACAGTGGATGGCAGTACTGGGATCAAGAACAGCGCACACAATGCAATCTGCAGCTGCAAATGGTGATATTTCATTTTGTTTAGAAAATAAGGGCTGTCTGGTAATAAAATCGCTGAATTGCCGATTTGAAATATGGCAAAAAGATGACTGTTGTAAACTGTCTCTGATATGAGACATAGAAAAAACCTTTTAATTACAGCTGACAGTCACCCAACCACTAACATGACAGGCTCAGAGACTGCATATAGCTACAAACATATCGGCTTTGTACGACCAATTTGCTTGGAGACTGTGAAGATGATTAGTTACTTTAAACATGTATCAAAGTTTCTCATAAAACTTCAAAAATAAAATCAAACACTTTCACTGTATGAAGAAAATTTATGGTATGGGATCAACAGTTTGTGCATCTCTTTCTAAAACAAAAGAATGAAACACCACATTATATGCATAAAGAAAGTTATACTTGTGACTAATCATTTGCTGATGTTGAAAACAAACTGTTCTGAATACTAACAATTTTGAAACATTGGAATATTTTCAGTTATTAAGGAAGAATGTTTAATTCCTCCAGTTTAACTTCAATTTCCACACAACATCCTGCGGAACAAGTCCAACATATAATTTCCTCATTACATTTCTACACAGTATGAATCCAATTCCCTTCACAGTTTACTTCAAAAGAAATTTAAAGTGGAAAATCAATGACAGTGAATAAAGGGAGAATTTTCTTATGTCTTGCAGTATGTAACAATTTATCTCCATGACCAAAAACAATATTTAATCTCAATGCAATGCAGAAAAAATGTAAGTTTGTAAATCCCAGAAATAATCCCAAGGAATAGTGTCGGAAGAACAAAATAATTTTGGACTTGCTCACATTCATGAAAAAGATGAATGTCACCAACGCTCTATGGCTTCATGCATTTACAACCCAACATTTAAGCAGCAACTAAAATTTACAAGTGAAAATACATTACAATATAATACATAAGAAACAAAACCAATAATATGCCAATATAAGGTGGTAAAAAAATCAAGCGTAGGGAGATGGATTTTACATTGCCGTAACAACTCCAAATTGAGAAAGCAACTACATAAGAACACAAAAATTCAGTACTAGTAATTCAAGACAACGTTTCCCTCATTATAACTCACGTCATATTCAAATATGCTTATGAAGTGCCTTATTCTTCCATCATCAGGAGCTCCTTGAATGTGACTTATAGTGTTAATAGATTTTGTTTTGGCATGTTGCTGAAGGTTATTGGATTCCAACTGTAAGATAAGACATGCTGCAATTGTATACCCATAACCATAAGTTTGTCACATTTCTGTTTTGCCATTCAACAGATGGTAGTTCAGACTATCTTATTTATCTTCTGAAATCAAAAGACTGAAAATGGTTGTGAAACCACTGCACAGGCCTGCATGTAACTCAGACTCCTTTCAGTTTTCATTCTGAGTGAAGTCCGCACCCTCATATACACACATCTACCATGTCTTTCATCTTTAACAAAATGATAAAAACAAAAATAAACATAAAACAGTTGACTTCTCCTCCAATGAAACCACATAACACAGCATGGCAGACACACTCACACATTACACGTGATCCCTGGTTGATCAAAATCATTGTACTTTCCAGACAAAGGACACAAGTTTCAGCTAGTGGTTTAAGATCAAACAGTAACATCTACTCCGCCCACCCCCAATTATACTACTACTGCCAGTTACATCCAATACTGAGCTATCAAGCTAAGAAGAAATACATCAAGAATCCTCATTACAGATGCAGTCACCATCATCATACAAACCTCAGCCATAATTATGATGCAGTATTTAACAGACATTACAACTGTGCTCATAAAACTAAAATAAATAATTTTACAAAACTATATAGACATGCTTTTGCCTTCCCTTGAGATTTTCATCAAGTACTAAATGAGTTTTCTTTGACTCTGATAAAAATTTGTTTTTCTTTTAGACGGCTTTGGTTAGTTCGGTGATGAACCTTCGGGTTCCGTAAGCCATCTAGTTAGTTAGTTAGCTATTTTCTTTTATACAATACTTGGCATTAACCCCCACAGTGCAGGATCACCTGCAATGCAAATCTCTGCATTCTGCATGAGAAACAATGTTTACACCTAATACATGAGTCAAGAAAATGTATTTTGTGAAAATGTAAGTTCGTACCTGTATTCACAGGTAAATGTTCTGTCTGCATATTAAAACCAGCAATAAAACAGGCTGCAATGATGTACATAATACATCTATGATAGATAAAAATTAATGTGTTGGTCCACAGAGTATCCCTCCGCACGGAATAGTTAACAAATTCAAATATTCGGTCATCTATAAAATTCAACACAAAGGACTTACAAAATCAAAGGAGCCATTGTATGTTTCGGCACAATAAACGTGTTGCTACCTCAAAAACAAACCACCCCGAGACCATCTATACAACAGTGTTGTCATTCACTTCAATGACCTGCAGACTGTGTGTGTTAGTGACTTGTGCTTTAATCCAATACCTCTAAGTAACGTCCATGATGACCTTCCTGGCCTGTGTCCTAGGCAAGGGTGTAGGATCCAAGCACCCATAACATGGATTCTGTTACTCAGTTGATAGGATAAGGGCCCAGTATTTTCAGTCTCTCAAAATTTTTGTATTTGGAAAAATGAAGGCTTTAAACTATGAGCAGAAAGCTCTGCACACAGACCTGTCCAGTGATCAAACCCAACTTTCTGAATGAAGAGTCCAGTGTCTTACACAAAGACCACCAGGTCCCCTACTGAGATGTAAAACCTGGCTAACTGAAACTTGTGTCCGCTCGGCAGTGAGTGAGCGATCTTCTTCGTGTGTTGTCATGTGATGACATGGGTTGAAGTGACGGCAGCAGTTCAGAGCACAACATCGGGCAGGGCGGGTGGGCACTAGGCTCGTGAGTCGCTGTCATGAACAATCTTACGCTCCTTGTAGTAGATTTCCTCCGACTCCTTGTCACACAGCAGTAGCACCACTCCTCCAAACAGGAAAATAGCTGCACCCCAGCCGACACCGTATGCCCAGCCGAACTCCCACACGGTGCGGTTTCCTGGCACACCACAACCAGTCAACATGAAGCTTCAAAGTATTCTGCTTCTAAATTGTAATTTACTAACAAAAATTAATAATCTCAAGTATAATAAGACCTTCTTCTATGGAACTATAGCCCAATTTGAGCCTTGACATCCTCTAAAGATAGTAGGTCTCTAAATTCTATTCATAAGTGATTTAGTTGGAAAGTCAGATCATAGCAACAAATCAACCTTTGCAGGACAACACAGACAAATGTGGATATGAACCAATGATCCAAATCCTTACGCAGGTTGAGAAACATGATCAAGTTTGGTCTGAGTTCAATGTAATGTAGAGGTTACAGTGGACTCATGGAAGATAATTATTGCTTCTCCTCAGCATCATTTACTGTAGAAACCCCATACAAAATTTGAAATATGAAATGAAATTATGAAATATGTGGACACACTGACAAACACAGATATGCCAGGAGCTTATATTTAAGAATTAGTGTCTCCACAAGGGGCGTTAGAACAACTACATTAGACAGGTAAAGATGAAACTTTAATACTGCAGACATATAGAAATTTTTATAGTACAAGGTCATTTACAATTTGACAAACAATGTTTTCATTGCTATTATTAAAGACTATTCTTCCTTTCAATTAGATGCATTCTTGTCTACAACCTCCTCTCATTCATAAGGTACATTTTAATATTATTCTCCCATATATGCCTTATGTCTTCTGAGTGGTCTCCGTCCTTCAGGACTTCCAATTACAATTTTTCAGACACTCCTCGCCTCTCCCGCAAATGCCACATTACACACCAACTTCATCCTCCATGATTTGATCACCCTAATAATACATGGAAACATGAAAAATTATTATGAAATTTTCTAGGCAACACATTAAATCACTATCAACTCACCCTCACTCAACTCTGCTGCAAAACACACAGGGTAGATCACCAAGGCAATGAGGATCGATATTACTGAAAACAAAGTGGATGCCACAGTTAATTAGTATTCTTTCTTCATTTCTGTCTCAGTAGGCCATACAAGCCAATATGTCAGAGTTTTTATTGTCTGTAATTCAAATACAGAATAGAATATCATTAAGTTTACTACTTTGATAAGTATGAGATCTGGGGTTCTATAATAATTATGAGATGTGAGGTTCTCATGGACCTCAAATCTCATCTCTCAATTCTCTTTCTTCCCAAGTTTCAATTCCGTAAATTTTCAACTTTATGTTGTTGTATAGGAGACAGGAAGACTAAACAATTCTGGACTACAACGTGGCAAAATTCCCTGAACTAAATTTTCTCTTAATTTCCAAATATTTCAACATTTCCACACATTTAAGGATTTATTTGCTACCTTTATGTTATAATTCTGTCCTGCAAACTTACATGATAGCACCATGATATAGACAGCCACACGGTAATACTTGTACTTGGTTCTGTGGTCCTTACTGTGAAGACCCATACCTGTCAGGAGTGTGGCCACTATATCTGTCAGCAGCGTAATGATGCACAGTGCTGCTGCTGCTTTGATATAGGCTGCAATAAAATTGATCAAAGCTGATCCTGAAGCAGCACAGACACAGAAGTTTTCAAAACTATCTCACATTTTAAATATGGAGACAACTGTATCTTGCATATAAAAGCCAATTTTTATAAACCAAATTTGTTCAGATATTGTAGGCACACACTGTACCTCAGCCCTTGTGAAAGTGCACTAAATCGCATAAGGTGCTGATAGTGGTCACACATGCAATAGACTGCACAACCGGATGCAAAGCTCCAAACCGGTTAACACGCAATGTATCATATCAGTAGAAATAGGATTTGAGGTTCTCGCGGTGGCACATATAAAGACAGCTGTCTTTTGGGTTGTAACGAGATGTAGTCTGGTAGAAGTTGACTGACATTTCAGAGTTTTCTGTGATCCAGCTATGAGAAAAGGTCAACTGTATGACCTAATACTGACAAGGAAACAAAAAGAAAAAATTTCAAAAATGATCAGTTACTAAATGCCCATGGTCACATTATAGTTAGGTTGCCTCCATATATGTGTGACCTTAGCCCAATAGAACTAGCATGGTCTAAGTTAAAAAACTACATTCGCAAGAACAACATGACAGGGGATCTGTCTTTGAAGCGGCTGCTGGATTTAACAACAGAATGGATTGCAACTGTGACTGCAAAGGATTGGGAAGGATACTGCCAACATGTGGAACAACTGGAACAACAATACTGGAAATGGGACGGAGTTGTTGCTGACGTGATCGACTCAATAATTATTGCCAATCCAAATGACAGTAGTGATGACGAAGAGACTTCTTGTGAAGATGTCGAGTCTGAAGAAGCAACTGACTTTTCTGACTCCGAGCTCGCTCGGCCACTGTGAGGTAATTTTAAAGCTATACTCATTAGAACTTGTGAAAGCCTTTTGTCTGTTGTTCCTTCAGTGGTTGTGGAACAAATGCTTTTAGGTTGGCTAGTAGCAGCTCGTCACTCACTGCGAAATCTTGCGCATGCGCGTATATCCCATTCCTATCAGGGCTTTTCTCCTGATCTGTGGACTGTACTTGCGGCCTTCTTCATCAGTCCTGACGATATTCTACCAGACAACACAATGCTACAACCCAAAAGACAGCCATCTTCATATCTGCAGGTCAGTCTGAACAAATGCCGACCTCTCCCGTAAGTACGCATGCTCCACAGAGGAAACTAGGGCAGGTTTAAAACTGGGGACTTCATTGGTCATTTAGTTAAACTGATCTGTGAAACTTTTGGAGCATCATGTTCTGTTGTACGTGAAAACTAAGGGTGACCATTTTCAGCACTTTATACAATGGGATGCAGCTTCACAAGAACTGAGGTACATGTCTACAACACCTGACCACAATCAGTGCATAACCACAGGTTCAACTATATAAAGTCTGAGGCATGTAGCAAGAAAACCACACAAATTAAATATGTAGCAGATGTCAATACAATAACTGCAAATGCTCATAAGCAAACAAACGGAATCCTGCTGCTTTATGAGTTCACGCCAAATAAAAAAGAAAGAACCTGGAGAATCCACACAACTTACCCACATCTCTTGCTTGATAGCAGTCTGGAGGGTCCTGCACATTGAAAGGCAGTGGCATCGGTGAGTTATCTTCTATACAGTGTATGAAGAGCCCTTGCCTCCATCCAATAGACATAAGCCAGTCTGTTGAGGCGAGGGCCATAATCATGAGAATGATCACAATCAGACCACAGATGAAGGCAATCACCTGCAACAGACAAAGAAGAGCTAAGTATAATCACCCATCTTTCATAACATTTCTGCACATTCAGCTGGAAGACCAGCTCATCTAAGGATTCATTACATTAGTGTGATCATCATTATAAATGCAGAAACAGCCTCTTAAAATATGCCATGACCACTTCCTCCCATTTTCGTTACATGTCATCATTCATAATCATCAGGCCCTTTATCATTAAATGCTACATTACTCATGCACTTTACACTGCATTGTTAAATAAACCAAGATATAAATTGTAGGATTTGAGGTTTTCTTCGCGGCAGTGAGTCTGAAGATGGCTGGAGAGCCTGAAGATGGCTGTCTTCTGGGTTGTTGCGCCTCGTAGTCTGGTAGAAGCTCACTGATGTTTCAGAGATCCTTTCTGCCTCCATCATCAGGGCGATGGTGATAATGGAGGCAGCAAGGACCTCTGAAACGTCGGTAAACTTCTACCAGACTACACGGCGTAACTACCCAGAAGACAGCCATCTTTAAGAAATAAATTGTAAGTTTGTGAAGTACAATTTCACTGACATCCGAGATGATTGCTGAATTAATGAAGTGAGAGAGAGTTATGTTACTGTGACAATATGGTTTGTGCAGAGTTGTTAAAAACACACAAATACAGCTTGGAAGCAATTCTCAAAAGACGCTTAGTCTTCAATGTTAGATGGAGGTAAGTGGGCAACTGCATGCTCAAATCATTACCAGAGAACGATATCAAAAATAGAGTTCTGAGTGGCCTCAAGAGCTACCTGGAAATAAATAGAAGATAAAACCCCAGTGCTTCAAATGACATTTCAACGCCAGCTGTCCATCTTGTATTTGGTCATTTTACTGACCTAACAACACGCTCCCAATTACATGAACAAACTCTTCTGCTAGCTGCATTAAATGTGACCTGGGTAATTTCTGTTCTACCTGGTGTTAAATTTTCACGTTACGCACGAAACGTCAAATATGTACAAATACACTTGGGCTGAGACATAGGCCACAGCACGATGGTAAATAAAGAGGAAAGTAAAGACTGTGTTTAATGGCACGCATGATTCTGTATTGCAAGATCAGGTACGTTTGCTTCTTCAAATTTTTGACTAGTTGTAAAATCGAGGGCTATCTGAATATCATTTGTGTTCAAAACAGTTTTCTGTACGATGCACGTTAAATAAAATATAATGGAATATAACTGATGCTTTTGCTGTTAATAATATTTGTACATGCGCAATAATTGAACAGCAGTTACGAGCTTAGTCAATTTATTCTGCTAACGCACAAACTTTTTAGGCGTTCTTCTTAGCAGAAGTGGGAGGTCGCTTGAATGATAAATGCACAAAAGGTGAAAATGCAGGAAATATAAATTTTACTTGAAACTTAATGGAAAGGGTGGGGGTATTACTTACGCAGGAAGCAGTGACTCCAACTTTTACAAAGAACCCATAAACTAATTTTATGTGGATGAAAATTATGTGAGTGAACTTACTCACATAATTTTCTTGCACATCTGAATGTTTGTCCCCATAAGGGCAACTGAAACATAACTTTTGTGTTGTTGTTGTTGTTGTTGTACCTCCAACCAGACATTTTGAAAAATTCAGCCACCCAGTAACCAACATCACATCAATATTAGCAAAATACGTATGTCTCACCAGGCCTTGCAGCAGCGAGAGGTTGTATGCACAAATCACTCATCACTCTAACATGAGGATGATGGGTTCATATCCCAACAGGAATGACCCATGCTATTTTGTGATGACAGTATTTACGGACGTTTGACCCCCTTTTAAGTAGGATCTGAACAAGGATTTAGAAAATCTCTACAACAGAAAGGTTTAAACTCAAATCGAGATGCAGGGCCACCATGATACGGGGGCAAAATTGTTGGTCGAAGGAGAACAATGAAGCAGGGTTTTGTTTTATTCCTGTTATGTTCATGTAGGATTAGAAAGGGAATGTATGCTGTGGGTGACAGGATGAATTATCTCAATGGCAAAATACAAAGATGGCTTAAGGGATGTAATCTCAATGTTCATGCTACAAAGAACAGATTACATACAAACGACTATGGTATGAGCCATAAATCTCGTTTTAAGAACAAGAAATAAAGCCAGCTGACAATGGTGCATTACTGGTAGTGGGACAATACACCTATCCCACGATTTATAAATTTTCGCTACAACGAACCATGTACATGTACATCCACTTTTCAATCGACATCGCAAAATTCTTGGACTATGCCCATCGTCTGTGTTTTTAAAAAGAACACTGCGTTTCGGAAGCTAGATTTGCTTCCGTCTTCAGGTCAAAAAGGGGGGACGGGCACCTACTCAGCTGGATCCAACAGAAAGAGCTAACCTCAAACACTTACGACGGAAGCAGATCCAGTTCCCGAACCGCAGTGTTCTTTTTAAAAACACAGACGATGGGCATAGTCCAAGAATTTACTGACCCCGATTATAACACGTCATCGGCAGTACCCTTTAAAACAGGTTGGGCCAACCCAAATGATCTTTCGGGCCACTTTGGAAATGCATCATAACTCCGCGGGCCACATATAAAATTATATATCCCCATATTAGATTTAGATACACTATAGACATTTTTTTGGAGTGAAAAATTGAAACATAATGAGTTATTATTATTGTGTTTACTATTATTCTTACATGTAAACATAGATAATATAATAATAATGATACTAAGCGTACATTGTAAAGAAATATATAGCACTAAAAATTAAATATAAAAAATATATAAATATATTTTGTAAAAGTGTGATGAATCTCGCGGGCCGGAAAAATGTTCAAGGCGGGCCACATGCGGCCCGCGGGTTGGCCACCCCTGCTTTAAAATATACCTACTTTTCAGTTTACAAACATTATTTCCCCTACAAGGAAGAACCAACCTTCATCCGGGGGCCGAACATCTGGTACAGAAGTAACGAAATCCACCATAACCTTCACTTTATTTATTAAAATCTTCATTTTAATAAAATTACTAAAGAAATGGCCAGTTTGTTATAACTGATCCTTTGTATTACACTACAATAATTGTTTATTCCTGTCTTACACCAAAGTCCTGCTGCTTATACTGAAACTGCTTTACAATGCAAACGTCTAATTTAAGACTTCAATAATCTACATTATACGACTTCGCATTGAAGAGTCACAGTGCGTCGAGTTAAAAAAAATATTAAGGAGACAGTGAACTAGGACGATGTGAAATGTTACGATCATGCACACAACTACAATCACAGACATTCCAGCGTGTTTCTTTCTTTCAAATTTCACAAATGCCTGAAGCTGGAGACAGGTGTTTACATGAAAGTCAGTCTTGCAAAATTTATTATTCCTATGACTAGACCTTCGATCTTATTTTGCAGCTCACATATAAACCACCTTTGTTCGGATGTTGTAATAAAAGAAATGTCTGTACTGACTGAGAATAAACAGCGTAAATCCGCCACGATGAGCTGTTCTCCCAGCTCAGACTCCAAATAAGGGCAAACCAACCACGAAACGAGTTGTGTTTACAAAGCGTGCAGTCAGATGTCTCTGGTTTCAATAACAGTACATAGCTTATGGGTGTATTCACTTTTCTTCTAAGTTGGCATCATCATTTGACCTGCTCATGATTTATAAGTCATGTAAAGGTCTTGATGTCATGTTACGCCCTGCTACCATTTGGTTTGTGATTTGGAATGGCCTCGAATGACATGCGGAATTTCATACAAGCGCATTCCGTACGTCCAACTGACGCTCGAATCGCAGTATTTGCATTGTTTCAATGGAATCAATTCATAACGTGTTACATTGTTAACGCATAATTAAGACTGACGGTCGGCGTGTTCGTTCAATAACACAACCGGATGACTTATCTCCTCACTTATCTTAACAAGAACAAATGCACGATCATTACTTCGGAATTCAATATTTCGCAAACACCTTGCAGTTACGTAGAACCCAGGACATACTGATCAAAATTAAACATGAATTCTGCGACACGTTGCTACCAACATATTTTGTTGTACTAACCTCAAATGTCAAAGTAACTACATTATTTTAATTAACGTCAACATCAATTACATATTCAGGGCAGAGGCAACTCGTTCACAGCACCGGAAGTGTGAAAAATTCGAAACTGAAGCGTAGCCAAGCAAATCAGGACTTACTTGTATATTACAATCACATTTCCAACTGCTGCATTTTCGTGAAAATGTTAATTAACATTTACAGACAACTTAGCGTTACTCTTCTGGTCCATTCAGACAGAACCATTTTATTGCCTGTATCTTATCCAAGTGCAGAATATACAAGTGGACTTCTCGCAACTCTTCTTACATGGAGTATAAACACGTCTAAAACTACAAAAAACAAAGGGAAATGACCAGCGTTTTACATATTTCGATCAATCGATTTGCTCACACCATTCCTGTAAACATTACTTAATAAGCGACATTGCCTTCGCCCCCTTCCGCCCCGAACCCCGACCTCTGCATCTCGAGATTCGCCCTCAAATCAAACGATCCAGACACTTTGTTGCTATGACAACGACAGTAAGGATAAAGGTTGGTTCTTCCCGTCTTCTATCGGGGCGTCAGGGGAAGAAAATCAATAGAATACGATAGACGAGCAGGAAGAACGGAAAATTGTGAGGTGGAAGAAACCTGCACACACGTAAAAGAAGAGAATTACTTCCGGGAACGCACCGCGTGATGCGTCTCGCGGATAACCGCTTGTCAGTCACGTCTGACGCACGCACATCGCAATTCTCAAGACTCAAGTCTGTTACTAAAAACGTAACGTGACAAATGCGGTCTTGAACCTTCGGGCTACGTAAACGGAAGAGATCTTCTCGACCGGCGGAGCGATTACCAGCTTCATCACGAATCTGCCCCGTGCAATGCGTCTCTGAAAGAGGCAATAATATTTGCAGCTGAAGTTAGGATTCAGACAGAAGAGTCTTGTCCCAGGTCCAAGGACTAAAAGGGCTTTAAAATATATTTATCTGCATTATCTTTGCACTGCCCGAGGATTCCAAATATAGCTCACAGAACTCAGAGAACAGTCAACAAATTAAACCAAGGTATCTGAATGCATATCTTCTGGAATATTAAAGCCTCTAGCCAATGGTCCCTAACTTAATATCAGGTCTATGAGTATGGAGCAATGGTGAAATAGCGGTCGAGCAACACAAGCCAGAAGAACTCGGAGGCAGGTCTGCTCGCGTGCCACTTCGTCCACCCGCCTCAAGGCACCCGGGACGGAACTCGGTTCTCCGCAGACAGAGACTAGCGTCTAGCGGCTTGGGCACAAAGGGGTTAGAAATTAAATAACCATGTCTGCTAATTATTTAGTGCCGATCAAATAGCCTCGAGTGGTAATGCTTCCAATTCGTAACCTGGAGATACGGAATTCGGGCCTACCGTCTATCCCGACTGACGGGTTTCATAGTGGGTCAACCTCGTAGCACGCATCTTGCTTTGTAACAGGCAACGAATTACCGCTTTCTGTCGAAGCCTTTCAATTTTACCGAAAGCAAAAATCTTTTCCTATTATATGACGCTACCCAACCGCTGCAGTTGGTACATGAACGTTGAAAGCCTGCGAACCATCTACCCATGCGTAACTTGTCGGAAGTTTAAACTGCTCGCTGCAGTCAGTCCTCCATGCTTAAAGAGTTAACAGAACTTTGACCAGAGACTAATAACCGGCGCGGTTTCCCTGTGATGTCCGATCTGCATGTGAACGACATACCTGCACCCGCCGACACGCCGACCCAGCGTACTACGCGGACGACGCACGGTTGTGTTATTTTACAAGGCTGCGAAGCGAATCGAGAAACCCAGAACATTCTAGTTTCTTAGAGAGCCAACACAGGAATCTTTGGCTGACCCTTCACACACAGATGACGTCGTCGGCACACGTGAACCAAATGGGAAAGAAGGCAGCTCAAAGACCGGGCGTGCTTGCCCCCCCCCCCCA